TGTTTTTTACTGCATTTAGCCCCTTTAAATCAGTAAACAATCAGAGGAGTTTCAGTATAGCAGAGCGGCAGGTTGCAAGGTGGAAATGAACAGACGCAGGTGGGGGGGGGGGGTTTTGCATATGGCTGTTGAAGACACATTTCATGTAGTGGAGCAAGCCATGAACGGATGTGCATTTCACCTGACTGTGTTTTGGTCCCAATACTTCCCACATTTTATTTAGTGTAATTATTTACGCTCCCAATTCCTTTGCTTTGAAAAATTCACATAAGAAATATACAATATAATAAAGAAGTTTGGGATGTTTTAGATACGACTCAAATGAAGGCAAATAATTTCTGAAGTTTTCTTGAGGTCATTTGAGATGGTGGTTAAAGTCTAGCTTGGATCCATGATGACAGCAGAATTCCTCACGTTTCTTATCTCGTTGTCGCCATTGGGCCTAAGTGAATAAATGCAAAGAAACCAATCCTTATCTTACGGCTTAGAATATATCACTGGTATTATTGTGTGAAGTTCTATCTATTCCAAAAAACTATTTAAATTCTACACCTCTTATTAAAGTATATTTATTACAATTTGTTTCATGCTAGCTTTATTTTCCATGAGGCTACCATTCATGTGGTAACTGTAAGAAATTCTGCTTTCATTGCTTCAGAAAGAAAAAAAACCATGAATTCTTTACCTTTTCCAGTTGTGCATTCTGTTTGGACTTGTACAGGAATTCTCCTACAGCCACAAACACGGAGAGAACAAGTCCAGCGGCGAGGACAATGAAGATCCCTCCGATGTTCTGCACACCAAGAGCGCTGGCCTCCTTACTCTCCTCCTCTGGACAGCCGTTTCCTCTCCACCATTTCTCTTTCATCATATGAAGTTTCCCCTCCTCTTGAAGCTGCAGGATGGCGATTGTGATCTTATCTCTGTATGGAGAGCCTAGAGGACCAAAACATATAAGAATGGTGTTAAAAAGCAATGAGGCTGTCTTTTTCTTAAGAAAAGGGATCCACTGCATACAGCGCTGCAGCTTTTAACTATTCCAGAGTCAATAACTAAATGTAGTTAAAAGTGTTTAATTCTGATTGAGGAAAAAAAAGAGTTTATGTATAATATTTGTCCAATAGCTCCTTTATTGGCTTTCTTTTAATCCAGTAAAGAATTTAAAGTCGAAAAGCCCTAAATAACCAAGCTCCATCTTTTATCAGAGATCTGATTGTTCCTGATGTTTCAGAGATCTTCGCTTTTAATATTCAGGTTTATTAGTGATATCTAGACATTTTGAAAGTAGAATGGGAGGCAGATCTTTTAGTTATCAGGCTCCTCTCCTGTGGAACCAACTACCAGTGCTAGCTCCTGAGACAGACGCCCTGGCTGTGTTTAAATGTCTACCCTAATCACTATATCGGGCCCTATATCGTGGTAACGCCATTTTGAATAAGTGTTTGAACATCTAGTGGATGAAAAAGTAGTGCACTCTAAATTTCTCAAAATGCTCCTTGAAAAGTAGTGATCATCCATGGTGAGCAGATATGTCTTCCTTTGCGAGAGCTCTCCTTGGAAACCATCATGGGATTTGTTGTGAGAAAAGCCCACTTTCGCACAGTGTGAGTGGCGACAAATATGGTGCATGCACCGTGTGGGGAGGCGGAGTTACATGACCAGCGGGGAGTGAAAAGTAGTGATCATCTGTCTCAACGGTCAGTTAACTGAATTCACAATAAAGTCCACTATATTGTCCCCACTCTATATAGTAATTGAGGGATTTAGGGGACAGGGTGGACATTCTGACAAACATACTATCTTCTTTGAAGGCTGAGCCTGGTTCTGCTGGAGGTTTCTTCCTGTTAAAAGGGAGTTTTTCCTCTCCACTGTCGCTACAAGCATGCTTAGTGTGAGGGATTGTATTTGAGTCAGTGAGTCAATGCAATCAACTGGTTTTCCTTAGATCCTTTGGATCAGTTTGACTGGATGATCTGGTTGAACTGTAAAGTGCCTTTAGATGACATGTGTTGTGAATTTGCCGCTATATAAATAAACTGAATTGAATTGAAATTAAAACTTTCTTTTTTGATAAACCTTATACTATAGTCAGAGTTGCTCAGGTTATTTCGATATATAGCTATCTCGGCTGCTATAGGCTTAGACCGCTGGAGGACATAGGGACCATTTTTCATCGTTCTGCTTCGTTCTGTCTCTACTCTCAAATTTTTGCATTGGTAGTTCAACTTTTATTATTATGTTCTCTCTTCATTTTTCTTCTCATTGTAGCTTCATCTGGGCTGGTAATCTTCGTACTTTTGACACTATTCTGAAGGGACGCGTCAGCGGGGCTGCTGCAGTCGACATCTTCAGTTGTAAATAAAAAAAAGTTTGGACTGTTAAACAGTGCTTAGTTTTGTTTCTCTAACATAGATGTGATCTCTTTTTATACCTGTAGATATGAAAACCATCTCACAGCTCATGTGCTTAACTGTTTCTTTAGTAGACGGAACCCCCCATGAAGCTAGGTTACTGTTATGTTTTCTAACACAGAAAGTATTTACAGATCAGTGCTTCTATATTCCTTTAGTGTGTCCTCTTCTATGCCCTTAAAACTCCAATCAGCCTTGATTGTACACCACTCTCACCAAGTCTGGTTTTGCTAGAAATCTCTTTCTGCTCTTCACTATTGCTGCCTGTGTGCTTTATGTGAGGGATTGCTGTAGAGTCAATGACAAACTACAAGCGAATACCGTCTTTAGATGCTCATCCAGGAGGATAACATCCAGCATTTAATGACTCAGTGCAATCAATTGGGTTTCCTTTTGATTGAAAATGTTCAACCAGTCTGGCAGTATGACTCGGGTGAATTGCTTCGTATAAGTGCCTTGAGGTCCCACTTTTGCACAATCCGGCCCTTGCAAAAGCTGTCCCCAGAAATGACCCCAATTTTGGGGTCTGATGAATGAGAAAAAAACATTGCATATAGACTGTTATTATGGAAGCAGTGTAAGAACGCAAAATACACTACTGCGTTCTTAATAGTAATGCTATTTAGATTAAAATAGCTCATCATAAAGCCTTATATAAACATAAGATAAAAGCGATTATTTTTGGCGTACCGGTTCTAAACCAAAATCTGTGACCCTGACCCTTGATAAATACTTCTCTCTGGGCTTTTACTTTCTTATGCTGATACAAGGCTGGCTGACTCTTTGCTCATACTCTGCATGCATTTTTTAGCCTTCATAACCTTTCATACATTTCTCATACCAAACACTTTAATTTCCCACACTGCCATCATCGGACGAGTTTGCCTTGTAGCTTTACAAAAGTAAAAGAGACAAAGTGTGGATGGGTGCCTTGTACTGTCTGTTGAGCCACTGTTTACCTCTCAGTGAGGCAGAGACAACAGCTGAGACGCTGCAGGTCCTTGCAACCCGGTGCTGTGAGCAGAGGCAGCTATCACCTGGAGTGCTTGGTCAGGTCAGAGTCACATTTCAAACTGTTTATTATGAAAACTTGTTCCAGGCAAGAAGAACCTCCCACCGAGCCCTGTAGTAAGACACTGCATACGTTGTAAAGTGTTGCTTTGCATCCTCCTGACTGTGCAGACTTTGCCTTGAATACTGGACCCCAAGCAGACGTTCATACATTTTGTTTTTAAACGGACACATAAAGGAAATATTTGTAAAAATCTAAACCAGATGTGATAAACTCCATATGTAGTGGATGTAACTAAGTCACAGGTGTTACTGTAACATATAACTCAATTGATTGTTAATGCCTGCAGAGTTTTTTTTTAATGCTGTAGTTTTAATAGAGCTCCAAAATCACCACCAGCCATCTCAAAATGATTTTGCTGTGTGCAAAGCTGCTGTTTAAGAAGGTCTTCATCTTTCTAACATCTGTTTGAAATGATAGCTTCTGCTTTTGTACTCTCTTGATTGGATTATTGCAACAGTCTAATAATTGAACTTTATTGATCTCACATTGGAGGAATTTACCTCTGCATTTAACCCATCCTCTTGGAAGGCAGTGGGCTGCCATTGTGCAGCGCCCAGGGAGCAATCAGGGGTTAATGGTCTTGCTCAGGGACCCAGAGTAGAGGCTGTGGGGATTGAACCAGGTACTTGCAACCTTCTCAGAGCAAAAGCACACTGCTCTAACCACTAGGCCAACAGTGACTTTACTTGCCTTTGCAGGAAAGAGGTGGAACATCTGCAATTAATCCAAATTGGCTGCAAGATTTTTTGCCAGAACCAAGAGCAAGACTCACATTACATCCATGTTAAAATCTCCCCACAGGCTCCCTGTTTGGTAGCATATTCTGTGTACAATTTACCTTTTCTAGATTCTCCAAATTAAGGTACATGAATTTTGACAAAAACTTTTGGTTACCAAAAAATTGAAATTTTAAAGTAGAAAAACTTGTTTTCTTGTCAAAAACCTCCATTAATTAAATTAGTCTAGGCTGATTTATTTTTAATCCTGTGTCCTTAGATGTTTATGAATAGAATTAATGAGACCAAATGAATCAAATCATTAAACGGCACAGCTGAGTCTGTATTAAAACACAGTATTTGTCTTCAGGTTGAGAAGGATTGTTTTCTACTTTTGGCTACTTTAGGTCTAAAAAAGGAAATCTGAAATAAAAGCAAAAAGGGAAGAAAAAAAAAACAGAGACCTGAGAAAAGTTTGGATTCTTATGAAATACAGTTTAAATTGACTTGAAATCACTATGCCAACATTATTAAGGACATTTTTCCTTAGACGAGTCATTCATAATTTGTTAAACCTTAGACAGGTAGTCACTGGTCAACCGGTGGATTCTTTTTAGGTCTTAATGTCCACAAATCATGACAGAAAGAATATTTTAGTACAAAGATTGATGTTTAAAAAGGAATTGAAGGGGCCAGTGAAGGACACATTTAGGAAAGTGGGGAAATTTTGAATGGCTACTATTGTACCTGGTCTAAAATGACTGGGATTTCTATGGTGGGGGGAAAAAAAATTCCAAACATCTATGTTTGCTTCCTGAATCGAAGAACACGGGTAATTCCTGGCTCAGACAGAGTTTACAATTCCTCCCTCCATAAAGCTGCTCAAGTCCCCAATTCTCAATATAAAACAAACAGGTTTTGCTTTTTAAACCAAATAGGGCTTGGAGCATCGGCACCCCCATTTCATAGCTGTGTGACTGCAGTCACCATGTTGTTTTAATTAACATCTCTGTCCTTCATCTTTTCCCAAGGGCCTTTTGTTATCTGTCTTTTTTTATTCTAGAGCAAACTGCTTGTCTGCTTCAAAAGTATCTATCTCTATGGTGACTGCAAGAATGAATTGCTTTCTGCTCCTTTTTTATTCAGCACTATCTACTTCTGATGCCTTTAGTGAGCACAGGAGCAAATCAAGAAGCCAGCGTGTGTTAGATGAATCACTCGCTACAGCAAAAACAGAAGTGTCCTTGAAACAAAGCCAGATCTCAACAGTCAAACCCTGGGATAACCAAACTTATTCAAAACAGGACGGCTGCCAGTGCAGGTGTTATATCCAGCCAAGTTCCACATCAAAACTGACAATTTCTATCAGCAAATGTTCAATTTCTATGCTGAAGCCGGGTGTTAGGCTAGACTATAAACAAGTGAATATTTCAAATGGTTAAATGTAAAAAACAAAGTCTTACATAAACACATCTGTCTTAATGTAAATGTATTTAGACTATAACAAATGTTGTGCAGAAGCACAGAGGCCTGAAAATAAGTCAGAAATATCAACACTGATTTTTTTCAGAAATCTAAAGGAATAATCAATGAATCATTATTTATACC